CCTGCAATAAACTGCTGGATGAATCCGTTTCTGAAAATGATGATTCTTCTTCAACATTCAACAAAGCAAGTGCTTCATTTTCATCTGCTGGTACAAATATGTTATCGTCATCATCTGGTTTACTGCCTGCATTGGCACTTCTAGATGGCTTCATTAAATTGGTGACTACATTGATTTTAAAAGCTGATCGAAATGCTTTTACTGTTGGGTTTTCGTTATATCGTCCTCTCTCGTGATAAACACAAAATTGATTTTCAAGTGGATCCTAAATTGATTTTCAAGTGGATCCTGAATTGACCTTCCTGTAAATAAATAATTGGACACCTTCATTTCTTTGATCATTTGCAAATTATTTCACTGCGATTATGGTTTTAAGAAAGCCATGAAAACTATCAGGTCTGGTTAATTTACCATTTTCAACTTTCCAAAGATTTTTCAGTAAGTCGTACCCTGCATTTATAGCAGCATATACTTCTAGGTTGGTATCACTCAAAACACGATTGCAGGGTTTTTTTTGTATGTAAACGTGTGCTATTCAGAGCATCGAATAAATTGTCCATTGCTACAACAAAGTTATCTGTATTTTCAGCTGTACTCGAAACAAGTTCACCAGTTCTCGTGGATATATTTATGGCAGCATAAACACTATGGCTAATAATTGGGCAGCTAATTTCATATTCATTTTTTGAAAAGAATTCGGGTTGAGGTATTTATCGGTGAGTTTCAACAACGCTTTTCCGGATGTGCTCTGTTTATCCAGGTCATACACTTTCCTTATGTCGGAAAAGCATATGTACTTTCCATTCAGTACAAAACTACTGTTGATAAAATTGTTTCTTACACATTTCAATAGATGAGGAACATCTATTCATAGCACACCCCATCATCCGATACAAAGTAGGCAATAGGAATTTTCCACTTGCAACAAATTCCTCTGATCATCAGAACAAGAGCCTGACTAGCAGAAGATTTCCTCTCAAATTCGCCAAGATCCTCGAAACCTTCAATTGTCGGTCGGTCGGTAGCCGGTCGGTTCAACGTGGGTGCTTTGTTCACTCACTCAAATCGACCGCCGGGTTGGTCGGTGGTTCAAGCCCCAGACTGAACGATCGATTTTCACTTGCTATCGTCCAACCCGTGTTAGGAATCACACGTTAAAAGGTAACACCTGGGACAACATTGATTTGCGTCATTCCATCGTCCACATTTTCCTTTTCCGTCTCGCTTTCTGAACTCTTATCACGGATGTAGCGAAATGGTACAGCAGTAATAGACAGTTTTTTTGATTGATTGAACACTTCATCGAAATGCTTCCTACAAATTTGCTTATTTCTTAACGATTTTGGACTTGGATCTGATAAGGCTACATTACCTGAAACAATAAACATCGATATAGGTTTACACATGCCTATTTCATATTTATACCTATACATGAATAAAAACTACTATTGAGAAAGGCCATAGTAAATACTTGATGATATACGTTGAATAAGCCGTAAGTTACAATGGATTTCGCTTTATGAGATCCAGCAATGAAATTTGTACGAATTGAGTTTAGCTCATTACCAGATAAATTATTCAATATCGGCAATAATCTCAGAAAATAATAATCCGATTTGACAACAATATTTTGGCATAAAGCAGCCTATTTTTCGAGAAAGGTTCAAGGCTAAAAAACTTCATGCTTGAGGATCCGCACGCCGAGAACCGAAAATTACCAAGAAGGGCCGAATCGTGAATGCAGATATATTCATAAAAATGTTACGCCTGTGAAACCCTCTAGTACTGCTAGTGGTATATATAATGATTAAAAATAAAAATTAACTTGAACACAAATCATGAACATGAGAACTCATATCACAAAAATTTAAATTTGATTTCGAGAATTGTATTACATTGCTTCATTCACTTTCAACTTAAAAAATATAATGAGGTCGGAAGAATAACTCACCCGAGTGTATGATTCATTTTTGACATCTGGCAGCGTCAATCACAGGAAATCGGTACATCTTAATTGTAGGATCTGATGGCTTACTTAGTCCACAGTTGAAAGAAGCACACTTAATTCCAGCCATTTCTGAAAAATTTATTGATTGATATAACTTACTAAGTATAACTTGCTAAATGAGTATTCACAATCAGCAGCGTTTGGAGGATATATATCCAATGATATATATCATGATAAGTTAAGATCAAAACTAGAGAAGCTTGTTTTGATCCTAACTAGTCAGCAAAAACTACCCTTCTCCAAACTCTTACAGACGTATCATGATATATCGGATATATCTCATGATATTTATATCTTGATAGTATATAGGATATATTCCTTAATTTTTGGAATCCAATGTTATGAATTGGTAACAGTCATAATTGTTAATATGCTACCTGTCTGATACAAGTACCTATGTTCATAATTAAAATCAGGTAGACAGTAATTATATTATGTTTGTTAAGGTGTATGCATCAAAATATAGACAATTAGAAATTAGTTTAATATGTGAATGAGATAAATCATTATTTTTACCAATATCTATTTTTATNTTCCTGATGATTTTTTAAAATACGACAAAATTATTGGTCGTGAATTCTTGGACGGGTATTTATTGTAAATATAACTTCCGATAGTCTCGAAATATTTAGGAGTGGGCAAATTTATGCGTGCAATAAAGCTGAAACTAATAGTAAAATTGATTTAAATAATGTTGACACTGATGTGACTGGGGATGGTAAAGTGAAGCTCATTTCTGTTTTGAAAGAATTTGATAGTTCGTTTATTCAGGGGTTTCCAAGTGCCCGTATAATCACCGGCCAACTCGAAGTACGAAGACGACTGTACCGTCTTAGTGCCGAAGAAAGGCAGGTAGGTAGTTCGAGATAGAGTTAACGAATTGTTGAATGCAAATGTTATTCGCTCTTGTTGTTCCCCGTTTGCCAGTCCTAAATTACTCGTCAAAAAGAAAGATGGCTCTGATCCTTTGTGTGTAGATTACCGTGAATTGAATGATAATACTATCGATAATAAATTTCCATTACCTCTCATTTCTGATCAAATAGCCCGATTAAGTAACGCAAAATATTTCACATGTCTAGATATGGCTAGCGGGTTTCACCAAATCCCTGTTTATCCGGATTCTATCGAACGTACTGCGTTCGTTACTCCTGATGGACAATTTGAATATCTAACCATGCCGTTTGGCTTAAAAAATGCACTATCTGTTTTTCAACGGGCCGTTATGAAGGCTCTCGGAAATCTCGCGTAAACGTATGTTATAGTTTACATGGACGATATTATGATAATTGCCTCTACTATCGAAGAAGCGCTAAAAAGAATTCGAGAAGTTGCCAGCATTTTAATCAAAGCCGGATTTTCTTTTAATTTTTCCAAATGTTCATTTCTCAAAACTTCAATAAACTATCTAGGATACGAGATTAAAGCTGGCGAAGTTCGACCCAACTCTCGAAAGATTGAAGCTCTAACATCATTACCTGCACCCCAAACCATAACCCAAGTGAGACAGTTTATCGGTCTCTCGTCCTACTTCCGTAAATTCATTCCTAAATTTTCACAGGTCATGAAACCTTTGTATCGACTGACCTCCGGTAATAATAGAAATATTGAATGGACCGAAATACATGAAAAGATTCGTCAAAAGATAATTTCAGTGCTGAATAATGAGTCAGTCTTAATGATTTTTAATCCAAATCTCCCTATCGAAGTACACACGGACGCTAGTTCCGAAGGTTATGGTGCAATCTTAATGCAAAAATTAAGTGGTTTGAATCGAGTTATTGAATATTACAGTAAAGCGACTAGTCCAGCTGAATCAAAATATCATTCATATGAGTTAGAAACGTTAGCAGTATTTAATGCAGTTAAATTCTTTCGTCATTATATGCATGGTCGATCGTTTACGGTAATAATAAAGATTGGCTTCTTGCAGAACAACGTCGTGATTCTGAAATCTCCAAAATAACAACAGAGCTAGAAAATGACGAGCTAGCGCCAGATCTTGCTAAAACATATGAATTACGATCTGAGTTACTGTATCGAAAAATTCAAAGGCGAGGTAAAACTCATTGTTTACCGATTGTTCCGCGCGCTTTTAGGTGGTCGGTAATTAATCACGTACATGAATCCATTATGCATTTAGGATGGAAAAAGACACTCGACATCGACTCGATGTTATTGTTGATAGATGCATTTACAAAATTTGTTTTAGCATATTATACTCGCAAAATTGACACCCTTCATGGTATTAGAGCCTTAAAATTTGCTATATCTTTGTTTGGTCCACCTACGCGTATAATAGCGGATCAGGGTAGATGTTTAACGACTGAAAAATTTCAAGAATATTGTAACTCACAAGACTCAAAATTACATTTAATAGATACGGGTTCTAGTCGAGCAAATGGTCAGGTAGGAAGAGTAATGAGCACCCTTAAAAGTATGTTTACGGCAGCCAAAACGAGTGGAATCTCTTGGCAAGCCGCATAAGATGAAATTCATCTAGCAATAAATTGCACTACTAATCGAGTCACTAAAGCTAGTCCATTAGATTTACTAATCGGTAAAGTAGCCAGGCCTTTTGGAATAATGACTGATCAGGCTGATAGAAAAAAATTGATTTCTCCGACGTACGGCAGAATGCGATTGTTAGTATTGAACGTAACGCTGAGTATAATAAATCTAGATTTGATGGAAATAAAGCTAAAGTAGTCCGATTTAATGTTGGAGATTTTGTATTGATTAAAAATGAGAAAAGAAATCAGACAAAGTTAGACCTGAAGTTTCGAGGTACGTTTATGGTGACTGAGGTTCTTGACGGCGATCGGTATAATCTAAAATCATTAAGTAATAATAGAACATTCAAATATAGTCATGAAAACTTAAGAAAGATGCCCGAGTGCCATATTCCTGTTGAGTTGGATGTCTCTGACCAAGAAAACAATGAAAATGACTCTGAGACAGAGTCAGAAGCCACCAGGGGAGAGGCCGAGCACTAATGGTAGTTTTGAGGTCGCTGCACTTGCTCCAGGCAGTAGGTCGTAACAGCAAACCTGTGGGGTTTGGTCAGGGTGCGATGGGCAGTAGGAGAAGTGGCGAGGGCTTGAAAGGGACTTTTGGTCGCACTACTTGCACCAAGCTGTAGTCGTAACTGCAAATCAGTGTGGGGTTTGAATCGATCTTGGAAGTTGCTAAGATTGTCAGGGCGCGATGGGCAGTTGGCGAGGTGGCGGGGGCCTGAGAAAAGTCGTAAGCCGCACTACATTGGTTGGTCGGTCGGTAGCCAAGCGGTTCGGCGTGGGTGCTTTGTTCACTCACTCGAATTGACTGCCGTGTTGGTCGGTGGTTCAAGCCCTAGTGTGAACGATCGATCTTCACTTGCTATCGTCCTATCCGTGTTAGGAATCACACGTTAAAAGGTAAGACCTCGTTAATCCTTAGCTCGCACAAGTTTCGACTTCTGAGGGTTGTCGTTCGTAGGGGTGCGACAGCTGGTTAACAGAAAAACATATGTTTAACAGAACAGATTTGAACATGTGTCAGACTGTGGCAGTTGGCAATGTGGCGGGGGCTTAGGGCAAATGTGTATATAGTTATGGTAACTATGGTAGTACACAGTTGTGCTGTATATGATATACAGAGGCAGAACATTAAGAGTGCAAAGGGTCTATACCTAAGGTGGATGTGAATTGTTAGTTGGTTGGCGAGGTTACAACTAAATGGAATAACAGAAGGATTTTTCTTAAGGAAATATTCAAAATAATTTTTCCGTTAATTTGTACACAAAAAAAATGCCGTTTAGAAATTCGTCAGTATACTGATCTCTAAATAATGGGAATTTTGAATAAGTAGTTTTAAATAATACTTACTATTGTAGTAAGTACAAAAGATTGAGCTAAAGGTTAAAAAAAGTGTTTATTGGTGCACCCGAGGACGTGTGATCGTCAGGATGGCCGTGTCGGAGACGAAACAATAGTTGGAACTTTCCCTGGTCTAGACTTTCATCGCAGTAGTATTTGAATAATGAAATTTAGACTAGTTGTTTATGACTCAAGCCGATTATGTTTTGCCGGGCTTGAAGCGGTATACATGGGTCCGAGGTGAGACATCTGGTCACTAAACGTAGCCACGGTCACAGGATAGATAGTTTTAATTGATAAGAAAAGTATAAGGTGGACAGTTTGGGATGATGGATAATTTTCACCTGGGAATGCCGAAGGGTATGAAGTGAGGTACCGAGAGTGCGAGATGAACCTCGAACGAGAAGGGTCGTTGTCCTGCTGACCGTGGATTCGTTATCGAACTTGCGGGTCTATCGTGATAAGTGCTGGCTATATTTTCTAATAACAATCTCTTCAAAATATTGTATACCTCTGTGTAAGATAGTTATTGTTGTGGTAAAGAATAAACATGGGTTCATCCAGAGACAATGCTCTTGGCGCCCCCGAAAATGATTCTTCGACATCAGAAGTGGGATATGAATCACCTTCAGGATTTTCTCCTTGGTCCATTGTGGTGAGTCGTTTTCATTTTGGTTTGATTCAGGAGCGGAATGCTCATTAATAAAAGAGTGTTTGGCAGCCCGATTTGCGGGCAAAAGAGACAATAATTTTATAATTTCAAAGGGGATTGGAGGTGTTGATGTAAATTGTACGCTACAAGTTTTACCTGTTGTTGCCATTGGTGGCCATATGTTAGATTCTTTTTCATATTATTCCTGATGATTTTTTAAAATACGACAAAATTATTGGTCGTGAAATTCTTGGATGGGTGTTCAATGTAAATATAACTTCCGATGATTTTTCTGATTCTTCTGGTGTTCAGACACCTTCAAAAACATGCTTAGTTATTGCTCTTTCGTTTGAGGTATCATTTTCCTAGCTAAGTCTTAAACTTTTTTAATTAGGGTACCTGAACAAGTTAAAGGTCGTAAATATGGATTTTTGTGGAATAAAAAAAAAAATGTTTTGTACTGTAAAAATTTATTGTTGGTGTTCAAAATGTCCTCCACCATTGCGTATACACTTTCTACAACGATTTCGTACTTCAGTACTGATGAATGAAGGAGCAGACATATAATCATAGTACAGATCATAGTATAGATCTGCATTGTACTAACCTCTAGTACTTTCTTTTTTGGCCCCATATTGTCCTTTTTTTGAGCAGTAGGTTGGGGCTCCTCAAGAAGCTTCTCCTTCTCCGAGCTAACTTCATGAATAGCACCTGCTTCCTCTTCGAAATGCGGAGGAGGTGTGACCGGGACAATGTTGTTATCTTTTAGCTGACACAAGTAAGCTGAACGTTCCACTTGCAACTTTCGGCACAACTTTTCCAGCATTTTTATTTTGCGCTGAGCAGTTTCAAGATCTGAAGAGCATTCCTGGTGCAGTTCGGTTAAATTCAATGCAGATTGAGTAGCAGCCTTCCATCTCTGGTGCCATTCATTTCGATCTTTCTCTAATGTAGCATTTGCTTTCTGCATTTTGGTCATTTCATCTTTGAAAGAATCAAAAACCTGTGGAAAGAGTGAAATGGATATGTTGAATTTGGTCAAATAATGGTTTGAAAGTCAGTAATATTCTGAAATACTTCATAATAATAGACTGTTTGCATGTAAAGAAAACGGCAAGTAACGTCAGATGGCGCTAATATTTGGATGAAGACCAATTCTTGAGAACAGACTTTTGGTGCCATATTGTGAAACATGCTAGGAATCATATATTTAGTTATACCTAATTAGTGAATACAAATATCAAATTTTAAGGGCTGTATTAGTATCGAATGACAATTACATATTGGAAAAAAATCTAAAGCCGGCCATTTTTTGAACCCATGAATGGTAATGATTGGATTAATGATTTGAGAATAATATATTCAATATACAAAATCAGAGGAATCTTTAATTTTTGTAGATGGGTGACACAAAAAAAAAATTGTTACGAAATTTGTATGATAACCAGTCGAAAAATATGAAAGCAAATTTTGCTGATTGAACATGAGATGGAGCTGTTACTAGTTAACAATATTTCTCTTAGACGAAGGTTTCATTTATGTAGCAGAGCCGTGTTGAAATTAATCGAGTCCCAGACACTTTGCTGTCTGGTAGGATCTTTCCTGTACTAACGAGAGGTAATACCTCGAAACCGCGGTCAGCAGGTGATTTTCTTGAATGATTTCAGTATGGTTCTGCTGCTGGATGAACGAGAAACATATGCGAGACTAACCTCCGTGAGGTATCTTGTATAAATGTATGTCGGATATAATTCAATATCCAGCGTGACATTAGCTGGGGAAGTAATTGTTTTCCGACAGACATTTATGAAAGCCTACTGTGTAGGTAGTTGAGAGGGATGAATGTTTTGAAATGTTATTTCGAAATATGTATTTTCTTATATGTATGTGTCTCTTCTCAATTGTTTTCACTTTTGATTTTGTTGCTTAAAATTTTAATCACCAGAATATTTACACTAATAAATAATTTTAAAACTTTACTTTCCTTCGTCTAACTACAATTGGGGAGTTTAAGTATTTTCAAACTTACAACTTTAAGTACAAACACCACAATAATGAAATAGGCATCAGTTACGATAAACAACTCAATTGTAAAATGTATTCAAATTTTGTTGAATTAAATTCTTTATATATAGAAATTGGTACCCCGAGAAAGTACTTAAAAGAAAAAAATGAATTGAACAAAAAACACACACCACCCATTGTCACCAAAATAAAAGGCACAACTTTCTTTCATGTTCATTACTATGACATTGACATTTTTTAATCTTTTCTATTCATATTTATTATATTATCATTGAAGTAAAACTTATTTACGCACTCTTTACTTGAGGAGTAAGCTGGTGAAGGCATGACGAGTGCGTTACGAAAAGCGTGATCGGGTGAGGCGAACGTAAATTGAGAGGGAGGTATAAGTTGATGAAAATAGAAAGAACGAGTTTCTTTTCGTATATTACTGTAGGGACAAGAGAGAGCACAGATTTATGGTCGAGTAGGCTATGAAGAATTAGAAGAAAACATGCATACGTTGCCACTGTTTTAGCAGGAGATTTTACCACAAGACATGGAACAACAATCGATGTAGTTTTCTCTTGGATATCTTTCTAATTTTCATTCGAAAACATATGTATCTTATTTCTCCTACCATAAGTCTATTGTCTCGGTCTTCCTATCAACTACATTAATTACTGGTGTATTGGATGATGAAAATAATAAATAAAAATAAAACATCTATTCAAAAAAGGTTATTCATCAATGAAAACTCATAATAAATTCAAATTCTTATAGAAAATCAAAACATGAAATACAAAAGTGTATGGATATTTTAAAAATATCACGAAGGAATTCAGATACAAAAATACAGCAAGGACACCCTGTACATATATTAAAACCCACAGCTTTCACCGGAAACAAGCAAATAAGAGTGGAAAATTCAGATATTAAGATTCTCACATCAAAATGCATCGAAATACGAAAAACTGATAACCGATATAGGTTAGAAAGAAATGTTAGATGAAATTAAATTAACATCTGCGATGTAAAACGAAAAAGGCATAATAAACTAATTATTATTATTTAGGAATGATGTAAAATTCAAAATTATTTTTCTTTCTTTCTTTGGAAGTTTCTTAAATTTTTTGTTCAATGATAGAGAAGTAGAAAGCAAAAAAAGTTTTTCCTGAAATAAAAACATTTCCTTTTTTAATTTATATGTATACAGTTTGTGAACATGTTAGTTTGACTCATTTTATTTACGTTAGAACAATTTTCAAATTAAATACGTGTCACGAGTTTGTAAGTTGACAATTGAAAATTCTCACAATGAAGTGTTATTTAACTATGGTGAACGTAACATTCAAATTGGCACATTTGGCAATAAATAAAATCATACCTTATTGCTTTTTTTCATGGTAATTTCAAATTCTGAATACTGCTTCTGGTAGACATCAATATGGAACTGCAATGTATTAACATTTTCTTGGAGCAACTTGTTGGTCTCCTCACTTTTCTCCAAATTTGACAACAGAATAGTGCGTTCTTTCTGCCAAATTTCTCTTTCTGTTTCAAACTCCACGTCTAGTTTTTTCAGCTGAGTATCAGACAGCTTCTTCTGGAGTTCCATTTGACGATTCATGTTTGATAAATGAGTTTCACGTTCTTGAAACTGATCATAAAGTTCTGTGAGCTTTGAGGTTAATTTCATATTCTCTTCTCGCAGACGCAAAGACTTGTCTTTATTTTCGTCCATCAGTTGGGTGAGACTGTTGAGTTTTTCCGTGAAAGTGGCAGCTACTTCCTTGCGTTTATCTTCCTCCTCCTTCAAGCGATTAGAATTTTCTTCCTAAATATTGATAAAATTTATCAGTGATTTATGAAAGTTCAATCCGTGGAAGAATACCAAGGAAGCTACCAACTGGCTACATCAGTGCGACCTCTATTGACTTCATGGTTATAAATCTCCAAAAATCAAATAAGTATATTTTTGTTTTATGAAATATCACTGACTACTTTGCTTACATTATAATATTCAATAAGACAAAAAATATTGGTAGAATTGAGGAAATTCATATCAGAAACTCTCACCATTTAACTGTAAATGGGGCTTTTAGTTACCTTATGTACTATGTACATGTAAAAATTATCAAGTACATATTAGGAATAATAAATAAAGCTGTGTATCAAATGATATAATTGAAAAAACCAAAGAATTGAAGAGCATATTTTTTTTCACCATTTGTGATACATATCGTATATACGGTAGGTCAAAAATAAACAATTAAATAAAATCATCGAAAAAAAGATAGGATCTTTCATATAAAGAAACTTCATAGATACAGCCCCTTAAAGGGGGTACATAAAATTTGTATAACAATTTTTTTCACAAGCACTGAAAAAGTTACAATATTGAAATTAACCGGACGTTTTGTACTACCAAAAATACACACTTCGAAATGACAGATATTTTTCAACAAAATCGGGTTACTCAGATAATTTTCTGAACGAAAGTTCTCGTGTGGAAAATCGATTGGAGCAACAATTTTTGATAAAAATGCACTTTTGTTCGACGACATCCAACCTGAGATGTCTAGCATTATTTGAAAAGAAAAATGTTCACAGCAGAAATAGTTATGATAACGTTAATACAACAACATAATAGGGATAATACAAATGAAATATCAAGTTCAATAGATTCTTGGTGTTTTTGAACTAACAAGCTACGCGAATATCGAATGTACATGTGGAATAATCACGTTTCGTGTTGTGTTATTTGAATCCCGTGAAACTCAACATTTGAATGTTTCTAATTCTTATTCACAGCTGAAATGTTGAGGAGTTTCAATGATAATTTAATTTGATGGAGAAGATCTTTCACCCGATAAATTTATCTGAAAAAACGCGCATTTACCTATACTAATAAAGCTCAAATGAATAACCTAAAAAAACAGCGGCACATGAATAGGTGAAAAATATCCGGTGAATAATATTGTTTTTCCCCGTGGGTTGACCAATAATTGATTACACTGAATAATCAAACTCAACTTTATTTCACTTTGAATACAATAAACACTTCAACTAAAACTTCAATTATTATTCGAATGTCTATCGCCTCACTATATCACTTCGCGTACCGCACTATAGCTTCCACTTGACTGTGTCGACATGCTCCTATATCGTAATCAAATGCAGTAGAAATTTCGCCGTAGTTCCATCGAAATCGGTAGCATTATTCTTCTAGACAGGTGAACATTCGCGCGCTCTTAGCTACGTCACGATTGGTTTATAGTTACCAGTGGCAGCAGGCGTTATTTTCTTTAGGGCATGATTAACAACACTACCCCCTTCCCTGAAGTCGTTCGCCCTGAACAACATTCCAAGAGAGGTCATCACGACCGAAGTAAGGACTGAACTTCTCTGTGTGGACAACTTTCGGCTTGCTTCTGAGTGACAAATTGATTATGTACACCAGATCGTTTATCTTTTTGGTTACCAAGTAAGGTCCTTACCATGGTTTGTAGAGCCACACTGCATCGCCCTCCTTGAAGCTCACTGGCAGTGACTTTTTGTCAAATCTTATCTTCAACCTGTCGCTGGAAAGTTATAATTTGGTTCTGGCAAATTCGTGTATAACTTTCAGTCTCTCCTTCAGGTCATTCACATACTCTGAAAGATTTACGTACCTCTTGAGATTCATCGAAAGGACTGCCACACAATACATCTGTCGGAACCCTCAGTTCCCTACCAGTTATGCCAACAGAAAAAGAGGAACCAATTCATCCCAGTCTCTTTGGTTTTCGGAGACAAACATCGAAAGGTAGTTATTGATGGTGCGATTACACCTGTCGACCATTCCATCGCATTGTGGGTGAGGAGCAGTTGTTCTTGTCTTCTATATTCCCAACAGTCATCATTTCCTTCCATAAATCCGATTCGAAATTGCGGCCCTGATCCGAGTGTAGTTCTTGGGGTACTACGTGTCTGGCAATTACGTTCTGCAACGGGGCTTCTACCACCGTTTTAGCTTCTTGGTTGGGTAAGGCTACTACTTCAGGTCATTTGGAAAAGTAGTCCATGGCAACCATAAGGTACTTGTTACCGGATGTAGTCACAGGGAGTGGTCCCAAAATGTCGACTGCGATTCTCTCGAAAGGGTACCCACTGAGGTACTGCTTCAATTTTCCTCTTTGCCTTGTCTTCGGACCCTTTCTCAAAGAGCACAGGTCACAGCGCTTACACCACTCTTCCACGTCCCGACGGCAATTGACCCAATAGTACCACTCGCTGGAATTCTATTTATTCCGAAATGCCCTCCAGTGCGACCATCGTGAAGCTATTCGAGGATACTCGGGATACACGTCTTAGGAAGGATCATCTGGAATTTGTGGGTTCTTCCATCCGGGCTTTCCAATTTCCGAGTGAGTAGGTCATCTCGAATGATCATGGAGTCCCATTGGAGCCAGCAACCCTTGTCCTGCTGGCCGTGCTTGGAAATATCTTGCCATTCCGGCCTCACTCCTTTGGCAATCTATTCTCGTGCAGTTTTCAAGACGGGATCCTTCTGCTCTACGATGATGTCTTGTTGTTAACGACCGTACCATACCACGGTCAGGTGATTCCCCAAATTGTCTGTCCGTATCCCTGGATAAGGGACCCTTACAGGTTGCCACCCTCCGAGTCAGAGGCAACCCGAAGCTCCGGGAGGGAGAGGAGCTTATCTTCCTATCAGAGCTGTCCATAAAAGAGTCTGCCCGCTACCTTATCACGTCTGATGGAAAGTTCTTCGTCTGGTAGCTGAGTATCCTTGTCCTCTTGGCGTTGGCAAAATTTGCATCCGGATGTCAGGCGTGGTCTACTTGAGAGGCTATCTGCGTGTCCTTCTGGTGTTCTGAAGTTGAAGAGCCACCGAAATGCTGATTGGTCTGACCTCATCAAATTTTACGGCCATATAAAAAAGAGTGTTAGTGATCCACCGCTTTGACAACTGCGAGGAGTTCTTTCCCAGTAAAGCAGTAATTTCTTTCGGAGGTTCCCAGGGACTTACTAAAATAGCTGATGACTTCTTCTTCCTCTTGTACCTGGGAAAGTACTGCTCCTATTCCATGTTGGGATGCATCCGTGTCCAGTATAAACAAGCCCTCCTCCTTTGGGTATGCCAGGATCGGTGCGCTGGTCAAATATCTCTTCAGGGTAGCAAATGCTTGTTGGCAAGCTGGGGACCAAACGAGGGGTGTTCTTTTTTCAGTTGAGCTATACAGCGGTCTGGCGATTCACAAAATGCCGGTAACAGCTACAGAGTCCTAGGAAACTTCTTACGTCGTGCTTGCTCTTCGGTGTTGGCCATTCTTGCACTGCCTTGATTTTATCTGGATCTGTTTCAACTCCTTATGAAGACACGTGTCCCAAGAAATTCACCTTTTTCTGATGGATGCAGCACTTCTTGGGATTGATCTGCAAATGAGTATTCCGTAGCCTCGTGAAAACACTTCTCAAGTTTGACAGATGTTCGTCAAAACTTTTTCCGGTGACTATAATGTCATCAAGATAGAGCCAGCATGTTTTCCAGGTAATTAATCTCAACACCAACTCCATCAAGCGTTCAAATGTTGCGGGTGCATTGCATAATCCGAACGGCATAAATTCAAACTGATATAAACTATTGCCGGTGGAAAAGACAGTCTTCTCTTTATCCTCGGGGAAAACGGCCACCTGCCAATATCCGCTTTTCAGATCTAATGTTGAGAACCATCTGCATTCGGCCAATATGTTAGGGTGTCATCTAATCTAGGGTAACTGTCCTTTCTGGTGACATCATTAAGCCTCCTGTAGTCTATGCAAAATCTCGTCGATCCATCTTTCTTACTCACCAACACAACAGGTGACGACCAGGGGCTGTTTGATTCCTCGATAACTCCTTTCTCCAACATGTCCTTAACAATGGATGCAGCTTCGTCTTGCTTTGCGAAGCGAATACGTCTCGCTGGTTGGCGTTTTGGCTTGGCATCGCCAGTATCGATGCGATGTTGAACTAAATCCGATCGACTAATGAGTTTGCCCTTCATAAACATATCGTTCTCCTCCTCGACGAATCGGGTGGCCTTGCACAGTTCTTCTTCAGACAGTTGGCCTCACGTCTTCTTGAAAGAGTTTATGAGTTCCTTTGTAGTTTGTTGAGCACACTGTAGAGGGACTTCTTCGATTTTGGCGATTTTCACGATCGGTTCGCAGGTGCCTATTACTTGCCCTTTCTTGAGAGTCACCCTGTTATTATTAGGGTTGGATTTGAATCCATTGTATTTATTTCCGTAGGGGCATCTAAAAAGCCTTGTTGACGCTACACCTATTCTCACTAGAGATGCATTGTTGAATAGAATAACATTACATAGTGAAGTCATAGGAAACGATCCTGGAATGCTATTTCGCAGACTACGAAAATGTATTGAGAAAAAGGGGAGTCATATCGAGCAGTTTTTGTAGCAGATTTTTCATTTCTGTTTGCTCTTGAGGAAAGGTACTATTATTTTTTGTCATTTGCAATGACACAAATTGATCCCGGTTTTGGAGAAATGAATTTATCCAACTGAGTGAAACAACTCCTATACCATATTATTTTGAAGCCAATCCCACAGGAATACTACCGGACACTCACTTGCATCAATATGTGTGATTATTTTATTTATTAATGAAAACACTGCTGTATAAGTGGACTTTTGTTGACAAAATCCATGTTGCTATTGGGTCAAAAAGGAAAGCTGATCTATCCAGTCTATCCAGAAAGGCATATTCAAATAATTTAGAAAAGCCATATGGAACTGAAATAGGACGATAATTTTCCATGTCCCGTTT